TAAATTATGACCTGATTCTTTGAAGTCACCCTACCTGGTATTTTAAATATCAGCTCTAGAACTCCTTTTAGTGTATAAGACGTTATTTCTGTTTGAATTGTTAAACCTGTAATGCTGAACTTTGTCCATGTGCCAGTTAATTCTATTTTCGTGCTGAATGCTCTGCCCTGAGTTGAACAGATGATATGGGAACACTGGCAGTGCGGGGTGCCAGCACCTTCCTGTGTGGGGGTGTCCCGAGACAGAGGATGCTGCACATCACTGTTTGAGGGGCAGATTCTCACCTCTTGATAAAGGGGAACACACGGCCGGCTTGGTTGAGGCTTTTCCAATGTAATTTGTGTCTGGGGTGGAAACACTTTGATTTGATGGGATTTTATCAGTCAGTTTTTCTATTTCTTCGTACGTTGTGGTAGGGCCAGGCAATACCTGTTCCCTCTACCCATAATTTATAAATGGAAGTTAGTATAGAATTGGAAATAGGAGCACAGCTGCTTTTCCAGGGTGTACGAGAAGCAAATGGTTGTCATAAATAGCTGTGTTTATTTGGCTTTGTCCTGGCTGGTTTAGAATCTATTACTGTTACCTGTCACTCATTTTTCAGTTTTCTGCAAAAAAAATAAAATTGTAGTTTGGAGGTAAAATAGCACAGAAAAAAAGTAATTTTTGTTGTCAGGTGATACCATATAACTAACCCAAAACACAGCTGCAAGAAGAAATGACAAATTAAAAATTAGCTACTGGGGATAAAAAAAAGAACGAGTTCATCTGATGGCAAGGAACGGAAGGACACTTTCCTAAAATCAGGAAATTAAAAGGAAAAGTAATAGTACTGCACTCTAGCATGAAATGAGGCGTGTGCAGGAACAGCACAGTCAAAAGGAAAGTCAGGCTGAGGAATACCACACACAGATGTGTCAGTCTGACTGGTCTTTTTACCTTGCTTTTAATGAAGAGCTGGGCAGCTTGGGGGTGAGGGATTAAAATGCAATTTTTTGTCACTGGCTTTTGAGTCCAGTCAGTAGTGACTGATATTTGTGGTAGCTGTGATGGCAGCCTTTGGATTTTTCTGCAATTTCTATGTGATATCCCAGCTGTTAACTGACAGAAACCCCTTAAATGTTGACACTGGGAGAACCACCCAGACAAGCTCAGTTTGTTAAGTGGGAAGCAGGGTTGTAATGCCCCGTGTGAGGGTTCAGTCATGGTTTTATGCTTAAGTGTACCAGAGATTGTGGTCAAGACGTGTATCCTTGTGTCCACTGAGCCGTGTAAGATCTTCAGGGCTGTTCTCCCACGTGTTGTTGGAAAAACAAGACACTTCGTTTCCAAAGGAATGCTGTATTTTTAAATAATGAAATTGGGAAATAATTTCCAAAACATTGAACTGAAAACATGCCCGCCTTGGGCCACACAAAGGACACATTTTTCCCATAGTATTCTCTACCCTGAAGTAGGAGCAGTAAGCAAATCCTCTTTACCTAAGCCAGAGAAAGGTGGGGAAATGTTGATAGTTTCTACATAAGAGAATCAGAGTAATGTAACATCCTAAGCCTCAGACTGGCATATGTTGGATTGCCTGAGTGCTTCCAGAGTCTTACAAGAGCCTAAATTAATTCCTGCAGCTGCTAGTGCAGGGGGTAGCTCCTGTTGTAGGGTGGAGAAAATCATCTGTGGGCAGCAAACACAGGGAGGCTGAACCTGTAACATTGCCATGACAGCTCAGGCTTGTGCAGACACAAGGCTGGGGAAGGGAGACAGGAGGCAGATTTGAATGATGTGAATCAAGGTGAACTTGGAAAGAAAACTACTAGAATATCTGGGTCTTTAATGAAAGTTTTAAGTAGAGATCTATGGACTGTGCTTGCAAATGGAGGGCAGTGCCCTTTTTAGCAAGTGAGACAAGTTCTCCCAAAATCTGAACGTGCTGTCATTGCTGTTGGATCCCTCTTAAATTCACAGACTGTCTAGTGTTCTTTGTCAGCCTTCCTAGACATGTAACAATTCATGAAGCACTGTTGGAACAAGAGAGTCACTTCAGCCTCTCAACATTTTCTGATTAAAAACAAAAGAAGGTGCAAACAGTCTGAGACTGGATTTTCTTAAGCATGAGTGTTGCTGAAGCCAAATAAACACTCGAGGCCGTAATAGGATTTTAAGCAGAAAATCTGAACTAGAGCAGCTTCAATAGACAGTTAGATTTGATAAATCTCTGGACGGCAATAGCTGCCTTGGATTTGGTCTGGGTACCGTGCTGCACTCTATTACCAAGTCGTATTTCCTCAAAAAGTGTACTCTAATTAGCTGGTCAGAACAAACTGCATGATCCAAACTTGGTGTTAAAAGTTTGTGTTGAGCTTTAAGGCTGTACAAATATGTTTTGGGTTGGAACCCATATTTATCTTCAGAAGCGTTGATCTGTGAGAGCAAATGGTTGCTTTCAAGGAAGGACACATTTCAAGACAAAAAAATGTCATGTTGTAGGACATTAATTATTCACTTAATTTTTCAATGCCTAAACACACCTATATATGCTTGGGAATAATAGTACTTTTTCTGGGAGGTTCTTTGATTATTTGTATTAGTTTGCTATCCAGAGAAATCACTGTATTCCTGGTAAATGTGCCATTTCCCTTCACAATCTATGTAAAACCAATTAGCAGAAAACACATCAGTAGAACAAAATGTGAACAGACATGTTTCAAGGGGGCAGTGTGAAGATAGATCTCCATAATATTGCTTTCACTGGAAGGAGGTTTTTGGAAAAGAATAAATATGTGAGTGAGAATAACGATGGAAGATTAGGAAGAACTTAAGATGTCCCTTGGGAGGGGATAAGAGATAAGGACTGTTATAGGGAGGAAAGAAATGCATCCATTGCAGAGAAAATTGGCAGCTAGGAAGAGATAGCAAAGTGAGATTTGCAGTATGTAAGTGGGCTTAGAGGAGTAATGGACAAGGTGAACTGTAGAAAAGAGTTCCTGGAAATAAAGGTAGATTTCAGTCTGGATAGCAGCTGCTCTCCAAACCTCAGAAGGCTGATGTTCAAAAACTGTTAATGATTGAGGTTGCTACATATCAAAACTGATCCACGTTAACCATATTAAATGGTGTGTTGAAAGTCACTTTAGGAGTATTCTAAATAAACTAAGAGATTAAAGGAGACCCACTGGCTGGATCCTTAAATCTTGGAACTATTTGTAGTTCTGAAAACAAGTTATGTTCGGGACCCTGAGCTTCTAAGTGGCTTACAGCTACTTCTCATGTAGGAAGATGGTGTTGTGCCTCCTCTTCTCTGAATGCAACTAAGTGCTTTAGTTTGTTTCTTCGAAGATGGGGCCTCAAATGACCTCTACAGACGTCTGACTTTGTCACTCTGAAAGACCCCCCACTGCCCTCACCGTGCCCTTCCGTGAATCCTCCCTAAGTACCTGTGTATGGGCTGAGAAAACTGCGTGGGCCAAAGTGCTGAATACGTGGTGTTTGAGAGGATGTGCAGGAGTGCAGGTTTATCTCCCCTCATCTCCCTCAAGCAGTGCACTTATTGGGAAGCTCTGACAGCCATTCATTATTCATCAGCTGTTTCCTCCCCGGCTTGCCGAGCACAGCTGGGATGTGGAAGAGCAGCCTTGTGGAGATGGATACTAGATTATGCAAGGGAATTATCTGCTCCAGTAAAGGTCTGGTTTCCAGGGCTTCTGGCATATCTAAGCAAAAAAAAAAAAAGTGCAAATGTAGGGGCAGAGTGTTATACCTGAAAAAATTAAGATATTACTGCAATGAGTAACTCATTCCTGTAGAACCAAATCCAAGGTAGATTTTGCTAAGGCATTCTAATGTGGATGAGCTTTCTTCCTGTTTTGGGAGCTGCCTTAGATGCACAGAACACCAGGAGTTCCAACCTGTTTCACCTGAAGCTGGGTGGCTGTGGAGCAGGTGAGCTGTCAGATGCTGGCTTTGTGGAGTGCAGGTGTCAGATCAGGGGACCTGCAAGTACCACCCGTCTGCTGTTTATCTTAAAGTTAGAGAAAAAGCTATCCAGCTTTCACCCCATAGTGCCAACCTGAAAATGCCTTTTTGGAGAAGAAAATAAAGGAATTGTGACTGGATCCTTTGGCTTATATGTAAAGTAAACACTGAAGAGGTTTGGTGCAGTGGTGAATTTACCTACTTTCTAAGGGTATCCCCGTTCAGGGATGCTTAGTAGTCCCCTCTAGACCCTTCAAACGACCAGATAAGCTTCTGCCTTACAAAGCAATCTCCTCCAGCTTCTCTAGTTTCCCACAGGGACAAGCATAGCATTTCAGGACCTTCTGCCCCATGTTCTGTATGTAGGGCTTTAAACCCAAAACCATAAAAAAAAGATTGTGCTGTGCATGTAATTTACCTTGTCTGCCTCAGGCATCAAATATCCCACGTGCAGATCAATGGCTGAAGTAGCTGGTAGTTGTGCAGGAGATTGGAAGAGCTGCATGTACTGAATGTACTGAAACAATTTTGACTTAATCACGTTTTCAGCCTTGAAGCAAGAGGGCACCAGGTCTGTGATTAGCTACAAAACGAGTGCTGTCTGTCAAAGTGTTTGAAGTCCATGTCACACAGCTTTATGGCATGAACTGTGTGATTAATATTGAGCTCACTTGATGGCCTGAGAGCTTCCCACCACCCCTACAAACAATGTAGACCTGCAGTGCAGAAATTCATTGGTGTTTGAATGTGACTGGTATGAAAATAACACCATAAAATAAAATAGCAAGAACAGGAATTAAGGTCCAAATCTTTCCTTTTTTAGGGGTGCATTGAGATCTTGCATGAGAGCCAATGACTTCTCTGGATAATGTTCAAGCAGAATTGAATATTTTGATTATATAATCAACTCAGCCTTTAACAGCTGTAACCATCTGCTAAAATGATATTAGTATTTTATGAGAAAGCAACTGCGTAAGGAGACTTTAGAATATTTTAAAGCAAGTTTTTAATTTTATTTTTTTTTTAGCTGACGTGTTATTATAATGGTGCTTCCTTTGAGAGACCTTCTAGGCAAGGCTGTCAACAATTGACTTCTCAGCTACCAGTGCAGCATCCAGCTCAACCTCCATCTTTGGGACATTGGACAAGAAAAGTACAAAGCAGTGATCAGCTTGCCAATTGTTGTGAGTCGTAAATAACTCCTTGTTCTGTTCTCAGCTTTACAGATCTTACCTGGCTGCATGATACTGTACCAAAAGCATAAAAGGTAACTTTTTTAAAAATACCTAATATCTGAATCAGACTCTAGGATGCCAACAAAGCTATTTTACAAGGGAGGATGCTCCTTTCTTTTGTGCTGCTTGAACTTCATCACCCTGCTGTGCCGCTTAATGAAATCGTGCAGACTGTGAATGCTGATTTTTATAAGCCAAGTACAACAAATGGTTGCTGTGCTTTCAGTCAGCTGTGAGCTGAGAGGAACCTTGTCACGCTTCATCTTTGGAGGCAGCTAATGGACAATCCAAGCAGGTGTTAATTTAACATATTTATATTCATAAACATTAATATGCTAAAGCTATCCACTGAATTAAAAGGAACTCATTGTCCACGGCTGCCTGAACAGGATGGCCTCAGAAGAATACAAGGTTTTAGGACAGCTGAAGGGATCTGTACTTTGATTTAGATGCTTTGTTCACATACTGTGGTCAAAATGTTTTAGGGATAGAAAAACCTCAGTCTAAGACACAAGCAAGGAGGGCCTGGAAAGCTTGAAACGACTTTAGGATAAAGTTATTTTTGCAGATCTGTACAGGGCCAATATCTGTGAAAATAGTGGACATTTGCAGCATACTTTTCTTGGACTGTAGCAGATGTGTCCAGTGAGGGTGAAGTGGCAATCAAGAACCACAGCATCCAAGAAAGCAAAATAATAGTTATAGGTGGAAGATATTAGTGGGATGCCACTCCCAGCAGACAGCTCACTCCCAGGGACAGCCTGAGAATGAGCTGAAGAAGCAATGTCTGAATGATGCTCAGCTGCTGAAAAAAGCTAAGTGCTTCAAAGTTCTGGTTCTGAGATAGCCTAGCATTAGATGAGCTGCTCCATCAAATTCAGGAGTTGCTAGTTTATAGAAACAAGTTCAGATTTAAGAGCAAGATATTCAAGGCAAACTTACATCACCGAGATGAAAGGAGGCTGTTTGCTGTCCAGGTGAGGTGGCTGCAACCTGAATTTCCCAGGTAAAGTGTGCTCTGCAGTAGAGCACTCCAAAGTAAGTAAATATTTTACTGAAGTAGGAGACCATTTTGTGATTTAAACCAGGCATCAAGTTCCCAACCAGGTGCACTTGCCTTGCAGATCAGAACTGCTGAGGAGCTGATGGGTTCCCCAGCTGTTTGTGTGATAACAGCCTGTTGCTCTTTGCTTACAGGGCAAGCATAATTTAAGATCTAGAAACCCATCCTTGCCCTCTTTGCAGTCAAACTCTGGGTGTGTTTGGCCTGTTGTGTGAAAGCTGGCGGCCAGTCCTCCCTGCAGCCCTTAGGGGGCTGCTGAACTGCCTTTGCAGGGTGTTGTGACTGAGAGCTCTTTACAGGCAGGTGTCATCCCCTCCTTAGGAGCACGAGTCAAAGCCAGCTGAAGTGAAGGGACACAGCCTGACGGGAGCTTTGGCTCAGGCACCCTGTGCCACCGCAGACGGTGTGAGGGAGGAATAGAGGCAAACTGAGAGCCTTGAGCAGCTTTTCACATTTCTTTCTTGAAGATGCCAGGCAATAATGACAGTCTAAGCCAGCTCCTCTTTCTGCTTGATGTGGATATTTAAAAAGAGCTTTTTACTAATGCAGTTTTGTGTTTAATGGACTGTGCAAAACTTCTTTTTATTCTAAAAATCTGCCTATCCAAAAGGTATGTCTGCATTCTCTAGTTCCAGGAGACAACTTCAGAGCAAAGAGGGGAACTCTGCAGATGCCTAAATACCTGAACAGTTTACTCTGATCTGCAGAAGAACTTGAGTTGATTCAATATTTAATTTATAAGTCTAATTTGTCATACGCTGATAGCAAAGTTTATTATGAGTGCCAGTAGTTAATCTTAGCAAATTTACAATCTGTTGAACATAAAAAAAGTTGTAGCACTGATATTTTCAGTGCATCTGAAAACCCTGTGTCCTTGGGAGATACTATGACTTTACAATGGTGAAGCCATAAAATTAGGTATAGTGTATCCAAGCCAGTAATGTTATGTCTTTCTGGATCTCAGAAGTCAGAAAGTTGAAGTCAAATATTTAAAATAAGATTTATGTTTTATCATTATATTTGATCACACTGACTGCCCTTTGTAGAATGTCAGAAGAGTCTCTGCACTTTTTTTATAGTAAGAAAGGCAAATGGAAATATATTAAAAACCTGAAATTGCAATATATAAAATATATATTTGAGATTTTTCCAACCCAACAAATTCAGCTTTTAATATTTCAAATGAAGTGCATAAACATCTTGCAAAACTAATATTGATAAATATATTAAATTCAAAGTGTAGTTTAGTCACAAACATTTTGATTAATTTTTCAGAAACATACTTGTGGAGTGGCAAGAACACCTCCCATTCTTGAACAGTCATAGAAAATTAAAGTATCTTCTATGATTGTTTACCTAAAGTTTGTCTATAAGTATTAAAAATTCAGTATGGTGAAGTCACAGTACAAAAACAATTTGAATTTTTTATAGCCTACATAAAAGCCAACTGCAGTTTGTGCTTGACTAGTGTTGAATGAGGCATGAACAGAAATCCAGCTGTGACTGCTCTGATTTTCATTCATGTTAAGTTGCATTAGAGTCCAATTCAAGCAAACCTTCACTGTGTGTCAACCTGTCCCATCAATCCCGTTGCAGCACACAAGGTAAACACTGCCTGTGCAAAGGTGGCAAAAGCAGACCCTTGTTTCTTTGGAATTGGGCTCCAGGTAGGTGCGTGTCACACAGCTAGAAACCTGCAACCTCAAGAACAGCAGAAGACAGGTGGTCATTTAAATCATAACAAGCAACTGCCAGAACAGCAAATATTTTAAATATATCTGTATTTTAAATTTAACGAGGTAAGAACAGATCATGCCATTACACAACTTTGGCTATATAGTTCCTCTGGTAGCTGAGAAAATTTCCAGATGAAGAAAGGATAATCATGGAATCATTTAGATTGGAAAAACCACTCTGCCCCCAGGCTGTAACACTGTGTGGGGTTGTTGTGACCCAAGTGCAGGACCCAGCACTTCACCTTGTTGAACCTCATACCACTGACCTTGGACCCATGGATCCAGCCTGTCCAGATCCCTCTGCAGAGTCTTCCTGCCCTCCAGCAGATCAACACTCCCACCCAGCTTGATGTCATCTGCAAACTGAGTGCCCTTGATCTCCTTGCCTGGATCACGGATGAAGATGTTACCACAGAATTGGCCCCAGCACTGAGCCCTGGGGTATCTCACTGGTGACCAGCCCAGCTGGTGTCACTCCAGTCCCCACTGTCTGGGCCCAGCCACCCAGACAGGTTTTTACCCAGTGAAGGGCGGTCCCGTGCAAGCCATGGGCTGCCACTCCCATTCTCCAGGGGAATGCTGTGGGAGACACTATCAGAGGCTTTGCTGAAGTCCAGGCAGACACACCCACAGCCTTTTCCTCATCCACTACAATGGGTTGATTTGTCATGGAAGGAGATCAGGTTGGTCGAGCAGGATGTGCCTTTCACGAGCTGTGCTGTCTGGGCCTGATCCCCTTTTGTCCTGTACGTGCTGCATGATGCACCCAGGATGATCTGCTCCATGACCTTCCCCAGCACCAGTGTCAGGCCGACAGCCCTGTGGTTCCCTGGGTCCTTCCGACCCTTCTTGTAGGTGGGCATCACGTTTGCTGACCTCCAGTCAACTGGGACCTCCCCAGTTAGCCAGGACTGCTGGGAAATGATGGGATGTGGCTTGCCTGTGCTTTAATTTCATGCACTATAAACACAGTCTGCTTGAAGGGAACAGTGCCCTATTTTCCTCTCTGGAAAGGCATTCATCAGGGGACTGCAAGAAGCATCTCTCTCAATATGGGCTGCACTTTGTGCTCAACCATGCAATCAGTTCCTGATCTCCTAACGTGGGCATCTAGGGCAAAAACACCAAAGTTGTACCAATTAAATATACAAAGTACATATTTATACTGAAGTGTTTGGCTTTGCTGCCTGTCCATGTGTTCTATAGGTGAAGGTTGACTATAGATGCCACTAATTCAGGCTTCCATGGGCCTATTTAGATTTGTTTTTCTCTTAGAACAGCAGTCTTGTGGTACTTGAACATTTCTGTTTGGGACTAAGTATAATTAGCAGGTTGATTAACAGAAAGCAGAACATTCACACCTCACAAAGGTCAGGGCAGGAGCTGTGTTTGATTAGGAATATACAGAACCTGTCATTTCAGTGGGTTGAATGTTGACTTGAAAGCAAACCTCAGTTATCTTAATGTTGACAGTCACTAAGGTCACAACATAATCTATCATTAGAGAGTGCCTTTTTTTTGTAATCATGGCATTTGTCCTGAAGAACTTGGAAAAACCTCTATACTTAGCAATTCCTTTATCTCAGAAATTATAATCCCTTGTTGAAATTGCTTTCCTAGGAGAAGTACCTTCTTGTTTTCTGCTGGTCCCTGTTTGACCAATGAGAATGAAGTACCTTTAACCATACGTTCTTTACTATATATAGTGTGTGTGCATTTTAACATTTTAAATTAACTCATAAAAGTAGTTATAAACCATTTTTTTTCAAAATCTTTGATAAATCTTTCCAGTGAGTTTCACGTTGAAATTTTGTTTAGTTTTTTTTTTTTTGCATTTATGATATCATCCAGTTCCTAGTAAAAGAAAACAGTGGAAAGGAAAACTGCAAAAAAAGGGAGAAAAAATAACCAAGTACGTTGAATGTAAATTTAAACAACTTCAGAAAGCACAATGTTTTTTGAAAAACATGGAGATTTCAACCAGACTGTTGATTAAAAACTGGGTCAATCATGTTTTTTCATTAAAAATGCAGACATTTGGGTTAGTTCTTATTTTAGCATCAAGCATGTAAATATGCCATTTACAAACACTTTCAGTCTAGCATCTGAATTTCAAGAAATAGTACTACTTTCCTGTAATCTGTGGTGAA